TGAAGAGCCCACAACACAAATGAAACATGATGTCAGAAGATGGAGTTGAGGAGAAACTTGGACATTAACAGCGAATTGTAGAGGATTGACTGAAAACGTCTGATGCTAGTCCGGAGAGAACATAGCTAGTTAAGTCAACCGAGGATTGTTAGCCTGTTTTCCACGAGAGAAAAAGAGCATAACAAATCCAAAGATGCATGCGCTACAACCACCACCCAATCTGCAGCTGACAGGTAATGTGGCGTAGAACTGGAGGAAGTTTAAGCAACACTTTTAATTGAATGTATCAGCCATCAGTGCCGACGATAAACCTGCAAAAGTGAAAGCATCAGTGTTCCTACATGTAGTGAGCAAAGAAGCGCTAGAAGTGTATAACACCTTTCAGTTTGGCGCTGACGGTGACAAAATCAATTTGGACAAAATAATAGAGAAGTTTGATGATTACTGTATTCCAAAAATAAACGTCATTTTTGAAAGGCAAAGATTCTTTACATGTGTTCAGAAAACGGGATAGACCATTGATCAGTATGTAACTGAACAGAGGAACAGAAGCAAGGATTCACAGACGAGTTGATAAAAGACAGGCTTGTTTGTGGAATTCCAGATAACAGTGTACGAGAAAGGCTACTGAAAGAGGAAAAGTTTTATTTAGAGAGAGCACTGACACTCTGCAAAGCATACAGAATGTAAGCAAAAGCACTGGTCGGTGCTAGTTGCAACGTCAATGCAGTGAGGAGAGAGGAACGAGGAGAAGTCAGGAAGAAAAGCGGCGCTCCCGATGTCAACAGTGAAACAAAACCAGCGCACAGAGACGTGCAAGGAAAGGCATGCAGTCGATGTGGCACACAGTATCCTCCCAAGAAATGGCCCGCATATGGTAAAATGTGTAATAATTGCAACAACAAAAAAAACAGTATGCAAGGCAGTGCAACAGTCAGGCACTACAGAGCATACTGCATACAGTGAATGAGAATGACTCTGAGGAATTCTATGTGGATTTTGTAACAGAAGAAAACACGGACAAATAAAATTGGATGATGCACTTAAAAGTGAATGACACAAACATTGTGAAGCAAATGTGATTTCAGAGACTGTGTTTAACAAAATCAGACCAAGATGAAAATTACATGCAACAAAAGTAAAAGTGAGTGGAAAATCCGAAGCACCAATATCTGTTAAAGGAAAATGCAAGGTCAAAGTGACACACAAAGGAAAATGCAGATACACAGTATGATGAGCTGATGGAAGATTACAAGGATCTGTTTCAGGGTTTAGGCTGCCTTCCTGCAGAGCACACAATCCAAGTTGACAAGACAGTGCCACCAGTCATCAATCTATGCAGAAAAGTGCCATTTGCTCTTCAAAAGCCCATGAAAGATGAATTGGATATAATGGAAAGGCTGGGAGTGATTGAGAGATTTGACGGACCAACTGACTAGGTGAGTTCTCTGGTCATTGTGGATAAAAAGAAAGGTAAGCCTAGAGTGTGTATGGAACCAAGAAATTTGAACAGAGCTATAAAGTGTGGAAATTTTAAATTACCAACAAGAGAAATAATAATGTCACAATTCGCTAATAGAAAATACTTTAGCAAGTTAGATGCGTCTTATGGATTTTGGCAACTCAAATTGGACAGTACATGCTCAAAATTTTGCACATTTAACAGTCCTTTTGGCAGATACCAATTTTGAGATTACCATTTGGCATAGCCTCAGTGCCTGATGTGCATCATAAGACAATTCATATGATCTATGAGCACTTGTAAGGTGTAGACACCTCCAGGGATGACATAATTGTATGGGGAAGTACAAAAGCTGAGCATGACCAGAGGCTGAAAAGTGTTCTAGAAGCGACAAGAAAAGCAAACCAGAACTTGAACAAAGAGAAATGCCAGCTAGGCATGAAAGAAATGACATTTGTTGGAGATAAACTGAGCAGTGAGGGAGTTAGACCTGATCCGAGATAAGTGACATCAATAGAAAATATGCCAAGGCCACAATGCAAGAAAAATGTGAAGAGATCCAATGGAATGGTAAACTACATGGGAAAGTTTATACCTAATATCTCTGAACGCATGGCACCGTTGAGACAACTAACCGAAAACAAAACAGAATTGACGTGGATACATGAACATGGAAAAGCATGGAAAGACCTGGAGACACAGCTTACGCTTGAAATGGTACTGAGATTCTATGATCCAGCTAAGCCCATCAAGATCTTATCCGATGCATCACAAAGTGGACTAGGAGCTGTTCTTCTACAGCTGTACGATGAATGGCAACCCACTGCATATGCATCACGCTCAATGACAGATGCAGAGACGCGTTATGCACAAATTGAGAACTGTTAGGCATAACTTATGCATGCGGGAGATTTCACCAGTTCATGTCAGGACAGAAAATAAGTGTTGAAAAAATGGTTTAAAAAAAACAAAAAACACTCAATGACTGTCCACAGAGAATCCAGAGAATGATGATTCGTTACTCATTGACAGTGACTTATACTCCAGGCAAGCTGATGTACACAGCCGACACCTTGTCAAGAGCAGTTGACCCAAAGAAACTGGTGAGCAGTAACATAAATGATGATGTGAATGCTTATCTGGACATGCTCACAAGTGCCTTACCTGTTTCTGATGTCAAGATGGAACTGATAAAGACAGAGACAAACAAAGATCAAACATTGAAAAGATTACGTGAAATCATTAAAGATGGATGGCCCAACACAAAGCAAGATTGTTCACACGATATCACAGAATACTGGAATTGCAGAGCAGAGTTGTCCATAGTCTATGACATCATCTACAAGGGCAGCAAGATTGTCATTCCAAAGAGTCTACGACCTGACATGCTCAAGAAGATTCATGCAGGGCATCTTGGAATTGAACAGTGTAGTAAAAGAGCTTGCAAGGTGATGTACTAGTCACGGATAAATCAAGACATCGCAAATGAAGTGATATGAAACAAGTGAGATATCATTCAAGCAATCCAGCCGAACCAATCAAACCGCACACAGTGCCCGACAGACCATACCAAAAAATAGGTGCTGACCTGTTTGAATGTGCTGGAAGAGACTACTTTGTCTTCACAGATTATTATTCATTGTATTCAGAGGCAGTAATAACAGCCATTAAATCCAACTTTGCAAGACACTTGGAGCCAAATGAGGTCTTCACAGAAAAATAAGTCAAAAATATGCCTCTTAAAATGATACAAACTAGACATCAAGCCTGCATCTATGATCACAACACCTGCTGGAGCTGCGGTCACAAAATTTTTTGAAATGCTGACATTTTTAACCGTTTTTAAGGGCTGCCGAGTGCAGGACAACGGCGGAAAATAATGGACGGAGGAGGAGATGTGCGAGACGGAGAAAGCAAGTCTGCAGAGGATGAGAGAAGTCCCCATAGTCCGCTGCTAACATCAATCCTGCTCTCCAAGGTCTCCAAACGGGGTAGATAATCTCCGATTCAAACTCTTTTTGGAGGAGGAGATATGTGGCTCCTGCACCATCATTCTGACGGTGTCTTGGCTGTGTCCAGCAGTACCGGGTGGTGCTATTGGCCTGGGGGGCCTGATGCTGCGCCGTGCCAATAGAGACAAAGAGCTCTGCGTGGATGGAGGCTTCTCTGAGACTGTTCCCAGGCAATCTTTGGCATCTAGAGGAGAAACACGGCCCTCTGCAGGTGAAAATTAGGAGAGCACTCTAGATGCTTCCCTGTCAAATGCTGAAAGATCCTCAGCCGGCTCCTCCCGGCCCCCTCCGGCATCGTCGTCATCGTCCTCTTCCTCCCCTTAGCCAGGAGAAGCAAGTGCTTCAGGAGCTGGAGGCAGTAGTGGCTCAACAACAACTGCTGCTCACCTTATCAATGATGCACTTTAGAAAATGAAATTGTCTAGAGAGCTGTTCTAAACAAAATTAATTTTTGTTCTACACTTGTGTGTACAAAATGACCAAATAAATCTAAGTGCTTTAAATAAAAGCCTAGTAGGTAGTATGAACACAGTTGTGTACACCTGTAATATGAGTGTATAAGTTTTATAGAAAAAGCCTGTTCTCTTCAAATACCCGTGTGTTTATTGAAGAGCCCAGAAAAATGAAATATATCCATCAGAAATACATTTTAAAACTGGATCAAAATGGAACAAAACTAAATAAGGATGTACAAAATTATGCTAAAAACTGTTTGCGGATTTAAATTTTTCACTTTTCTTTTTTTAATTTTAAATGTAATATAGATATGTCAAAATTAAAGCAGAAAAATCTTTTTAATGGTTTACCAGCATTTTTCATAAAAATGTCTAGTAGAGTTTTGTGCACTTTTGATACAAAGATGGTTATGGATAGATAAAGATCCTCATCTGACAGAATTCCCATTTCTGTCCTACATCATGATTACTTGGTCTCCTGCTGTTTGTGAAGCATACATATTGAAAACATTTTTCACAGCAGTGGTCGATCCTTTTTCGATCTATAATGCTGCAATCTGTAATTAGATGGCTTTTCTTCCCTCCAACCACTTTCCAGCAGTCAGTGTGCATTTGTTGGACCTAAAGCTGAAATATATCATGATGTTTTTGTTATTCAAAACCAACCTCTTTGCTCTCATCCCTACCTTCATTGAGTTTATTTTTTTGACAAATTGTCTGCGTTATATTCGCCACTAAATAAAAATGCAGAAATATTTTACACTACAAAGACTTATTGCTATATTTTACATATGTGATATAAGGCTGTGATTTGTTGTCTGAAAATGGATCCAACGAAACAGCTTTAGTCTCGCTCTGTAAGTGTTTTGTCCTCTCTTTGTGTTCTGCATACAGGTGCTTATTGGGTAAAGTAATACTATTTTACAAAATAGTATTTTTTTCTACATAGGGATGAGTTATTAATAACATAAATCTAAGTTCATATTGTTTTAAAACACAATAGGTTTTGCTTTGTTTTTTTTATTTTTTTGTTTTTATATAATGTCTGATTATATGTGCTCTTTTCTGCAGGCTCACAGGTACAACCTCACCATCACCAGTGATATCAAATAAGAATTGGCTTCGGATACACTTCACTTCAGACAGCAACCATAGAAGAAAAGGGTTCAGTGCTCAGTATCAAGGTATGTTTTTGCTTTGTTGTCTTTCTATAGTTGGGAAATTTTATATATGTAACATTAATATAAGCACATATTACAGAGGATCATTTACCATTTAGGCTGTTCTGACCATTACTCTGGTAAACAGCAATGATGATTGTCATGATTTCACTCCTACTTACATGAAAGGGAACACCCTCTTAGAATTCATCGAGCCCTTCCAAAGACCTGCATGCACAGCTAACATTTAATATCATATTTTCCATACCAGAAGGCAATATAATTCTAAAGACAGAATTCACAGTTTATTCACCGGCCATCTTACATCTAACCGAGGTCAAAGTAAACATTTTCTATATCAATCTCTAACAAAAGAATTCACTTCAGATCTAAAAAAAAAAAGAGATTGTTGCAGTTAGGTTATAAGGCAATATGAATATGATGTGTTCACTTTATCTTATATTCTGAATTACCATTGTGTTCACTCACATCTTCTAACACAGCTGAGAATAGCTGTTGTTTTCAGTGTGATGATTTTCAGCCTTCTTTTTAGTTTTCAGTTTCTTTTTCATCTTCGTCTCATTTTTTATAGTCTTCATAAGGGCTTTTGAACCTCTCTTATTCTGACCTGCTACCAAGGGTCTGTTTGCCTTGCGACACCCAACAAGCCCCATCAAGGCACTCAACCTCCTCCTCTATGTTAAGGTGATGGTCCAAGGAGGAAGCTATTTTTAATTTATTGTTGCTGTTAAAGTAAAACAAATCTTTTTCCTGTTTTTTTTTTCTAAAAACATGCCTAGATTTTAGAATTTAATACAAAATATTTTCAGAAATAGTATTAGAAATATTCTCTTGTGACATTACTTGAGTATATTTTTAAAAAGTGTTTTAAATATTTATTAAAATTAGTTTCAATTACTATTTAAAGAATCCAAAAGTAGAATTAGATCTGATGAGCTTTTGGTTTGGAAAAACACAGTATACAAAATATCTGAAATAAAAAAAGACTAAATAAACACAAAGTCTTATTTTTACTCGACTATACAAGAAGCTATAAGTAAGCACTGGACCTCAAGCCATCTACAATAATATTTTATTTTTCAACAACAAATATGTAACTTTTTTATTAACAAAATGCCTTTTATTTTTTTACTGTACCGGTAATTATTTTTTTTTTTTACATTTTCTTTTGAGTAGATATATTGACAATGCTTTTGCTATTCATTTTTTTAGGTCTTGCTTTTCTGGCTTTATTTTCTATGATTTTTTTGGATAGTCCTTTTTGACAGTTTTTGAGTTTTTTTAACTTTTTTTTTTACAGATTTTGTTTTTTTTTCCAAATTATTTCCATTTCACATTTTATTTTTATTTTTTTTTTTTTTTTACACATTTTTATTTTTTTATTACATCTGCTAAATATTCTCCTTGATTTACTGATGATGCTGTTTCTCTTCTGTTATAGTTAATTAGCCCTCCCTGCAACAGTCATAACCACTATAAGATCAAGTTGTTTGCTTTGTCCTATAGTTTATTATGCTTGCTTTTAATCATGATTAAAACCTCCTTTAGATAATATTTTCCCTGAGTTACTGTCTGCAATTTGATCCTGCAAACAACCCTCTTACACCATAACCTTTTGTCCGACAATGCCAGACTCCTCTGTTTTCTTTGCTTCCGCCCCTGATCTGACCAAAAATGAGATAAAAATTATGTGGTCTAATTTAATGATTGGCAAAATTTCTTGTAAAAACCTGGTCTAAGGGTCCAGTGCAGGAAGCAGAGTCAGCGTTTAACACACCTCTCTTCATCTTCTCTGCTGTTACCTCCATTATCCCATACAAACAATGTCTTTTCATTAAAATTAGTACAACTCCAACTGAGCAAAAAACTAAAATGGTTAAATTTGCTTCATATAAAAAATATATCCCAACCCTAAAAATGTTTGTTAGTTTATGATAATGTTCTGATTTGAGATAATCAGATTGATGTAAGTGGTCTTACAGAAACATGGTTGTAACAAGAGAATTTTGTTAGCATGAATTATTCAACTCCCTATCATTATTTAAATGTTCAGAAATTCTGTGAGGAGAAATGGCAACAATATTTCAGTCTAATTTATTGATTGGTGTAGAGCCAATTAATAAGTGATGGCTTAAATGCAACATTTATTGCTATCTGAGACTACATTCACACTGCAGGTATCAATGCTTAATTCAGATTTTATCTAAATTGTGGTCCTGAATTAACCCTCATGCAGGCAAAGAAGAACAATAACATGTCAGAAGTCAATGTCTATGGATGGATTTAAAGTTGTTAAGAAGTGGAAATAGATGATACAGCAAGCAATGCAGAAAAGGAGACAGAGAAGAAAGAGAGCTAGACTATTAATTATGGTTTTTGGAGGAGGAGTGGCAGGGACATCTCCAAAGAGAAATGTGTGGGTGCTGCCTCACTGTCAACTGACCTATTAGAGTATGACCCCTCAAGTTTCTTTTGGATCAGTGTATCCGCTCAAATACTGAATTCCAAAATGTTTTTGTCCCTCCACTGTAACTCTATCTATGCTGTCCTCCAAGTTTGTTGTAATTGTTATTTCTAGTACAACGTCATACTAAATCCAATATCGGCCACCTGGTTGTCAGTCATGTTCCAAAATATCTGACCTGAATTTGATTTAAAACCACATACATATGTGGCGTAGAATAGATTTGAAACAGTCAGACTATTTGACTTGGCCTGTCTGAGACATTAAAACATCTTATCTGAGTCACTTCTGGGCAAAAAAAAAATTATTTTGGCCACATTTGTCTGCAGTGTGAATGTAGCCTTAGGCTCAAACTGCTTTGTTCACAATATGCATAGACCCACACATTTGCATCTTCATACTTTGGACCTTATTCTGGTATATTGTATTGATTATAAAGAAAATAACAGTATTTCCTCACAACCCTATCCTATCTGACCACTTTCTAGAAACCTTCAAATTGAATTCAAGGGAGTTCTTCTCCCATGAAAGATCACATATCTTGAAGCAAATCAGATAATGTAGTAATACATTTTACTTTTTTACTTTTTATTTAGATACAGTAGGGTTACCTACTCTCTGGGCCTACTGTTTAATCTGTTTTACACTTTATGCGAATTCCACCCACAAAGCAAAAATTTTACCCTTACCTGCAAAATATGTGAATTGAATTTTGTTTTAAAGTGTGCACTTTTTTGGTTGAGTCTGCTTAAATAGAATGCAAGGCATTATACAAACTAAGCCTAACATAAAAAAGCCTTAAGAAGAATTGAATATTGTAGATTTGGCCACTGATAGTCTACACTGGATTGAGGACATTAATTAAGGCCATATTTCCTAAAACACTGGACTTCCTTGTCCATTTATTTTCAAATAAACACATGATTTTGCTGCAGAGTCATGTAAAGGTGTATGCTAGCATACATGGTCAGATTTGGTTGGCTGCCCCATCACATTAAATCCTTCCTGTCATCTAGTGTGACTGGTGTAACTTCTGGGCTCTTTCTCTTTATGTGTCTCTTTCTTCTTCTTCTCCAGTCACTGGTCTTCTGCTCTTGCCATCAGTGTTTTCCTTAAAAGTGTTTGTGTATGTGTGTGTGTGATCCAAAGAAAGACAGAGAGTGAGATGTGCTTTTCATGCCCAGCCTGTCTCCCAGTGGAATATAGTGTAGTTGTAACACAGATTTTATTCTTTATTTTTTCCTGTTAACCTCTGCAGCAGTGCCACTTAGGATAAAATAGATGGAATTAATTTTAATGACGCTCCCTTCTACCTTTTACTCTTATTTTTTCTCTGTATTTAAATTGATTTTCATTTTTTCCAATTATGCGTTATGCTTCTTCCCACCATTACATATGTTGTATGTTAGATATAACACATATTTTATATCTGGATTATTGTACATGGAGCAATGCTGTAAATGGCCTCCTGGGGAGAAGAAAGTATTTTAGGAGAGGACCTACAGTAATTAAAGTTTAATGGAATATAATTTATAATTAACTGTATAACCTCTCTCTCTCCACCTTCCTCTAGTGAAAAAAGCCATAGAGTTGAAGTCCAGAGGCGTAAAGATGATGCCCAGTAAAGACTCCAGTCACAAAAACGCAGTGTGTAAGTATTCTAGCATCTATATATTGTGTGTGATATTTCTAACAAATATCTCTTAGACATTTTACCTTACCTCAGAATAGATCCGCAAATTTGCAGACATGCAGTATACAGAAGGATTCACAAAGTGCATTCATCTTTTATGTGGCAGAGCCTGAGATTTCATCTATTTTTCAAATAAGTTGACCTTCTTTGAAAGAAGAATTAGAAGCAATTTTTTTGTTGTTGTTTTTTTTATAAGAAATATTTTTTCCTCAACTGGAAAAAACTGAATCGTTAAAATTCCTTCTTTTCAATAGCTACATACCAGCTATCAAAGCCAAACAGAGCAGTTATGTGCCCTTTGATTACTTTTTACTACACAACAATGCAGTACTTATGAAGAGAAAAGAAAAAAATGTTAGACTTTAGCTTTAATTGGAAAAATACTGATGAAAGCATGCCTTTATTGCCAAGTAGATTTTTTTTTTTTAAAGCTTACCTACATTTTAGATTAATACATGTTAATCCAGTGGATAATCAATGAGTGCAAAGTATGCATGACATGTCACTGCTTCATTTACCTGCTCTCAGTCTGTCTTGTTGGAGTTAATGTTTTATACACCTGGGTAAGCTCCTGCAAAACCATAATAAATTTTTGTATTCAATGAGATTTAAAATGACAAGTTTTTAGAAATAACAAAATATCCAAAAGAGAAAAAAAAAAATGTTTACTCAATATTCATAGGTTGGACCATCCTCTCCTGCTTGTTTTCAACTGATTTGCCAATAAAATGCCTTTTTTAGAAGCATTTATAAGATACCTTTATTTTTATTTTCATGTTTACACTTCTCATTGCTTGTTTTAAAGTCTATCACAAAAACTATATCAAGCTTTTTTGAAGATGAAAGAATTACTGCATCCAATAAAGTCAGACTTATCAATCCATCCTTTAGAATGCATAGATAGAATAGTTTTTTTTTTTTCTTGGTCTTAGTCAAGAGAGGAATGCTACAAAACCTCAACCTAACTTTCCAAAAGACTTTGCTTTGATGTGTAAAATTTAAATATTTTGAGTTACTTGCTCAAAATCTTTTTGAGTTTTATCAATTTTATAAAGGCAAAATATCAGATTGGGACTCGAAATCATTCAGATTTGAGGTTAAAAGATTGGATCGGGATCAGAGGGCTAAAATGCTGATCCGGACATCCCTAATGAAAACTCAACAGATATAAAGGGTTTAAACTCCACAGATTTCTTCAAAAACAGATGAATAGGTTTTGTAAGACACCTTACCTTGCCCCGGCCGGAGTCTGACACTCCAGTCAACCTGGACCTTAAATGCTGAGTCTTAAATCATGTTAAGCTGGAGCTAGGAGGTGCACTGATAGGCTAGAGCAGGAGCACATGAAGAAGCATTAGTGGGCAAGCAGGAGTCTTCAAGTAGAATTAATGCATTAGCTTAATTTCAACCGAGCGAGGTTAACACAGAGAAAAGCTGCAATACAGTAAAAAAGCTTGATTCACACAAAGGTATAACAATCTTTGGTGGTCACAACACGGCAGAAGACTTTGATGCTGAATGCAGTAGACGTGCGTGTGGGAAGATGGTGATCATGTGAGTTACTTACCTGTTTTTTTAAGTTCAGTCTTAGCCCAGAGGAAGGAGTAGAATCCAGCCGGAAGGTTCTTCACAGCATGTAGAGGAAGCCGCCGAGAGAGTTCCAGGAGTGAAAGCAGAGCAGAACGAGGAGCAGAATGGAAATGGTGGATGGATAATCCAGCAATGGTGTCAATGCAGAAGCCAGAAGATCAGAGATCTGAAGGGATATCCAAGCCAGGGTCACAAGGCAGTTCCAAGGACGTTAGCAGGCAGAATCCAATAGAAGTCCGAAAACAGGTCAGGCAAAACAGATCATAACAGTGCCAGGCATACTCAGAAGTCCAGGAGCAGAAATAAGTCAGGATCAGGTAATCAGAAACACACAGGTTAGCTAGAAAACTCTCACCTACGGCTTGAATAATCTGGCACTTATAGCTGGGACACAGCAGTTTAAATAGGAACTGGAACAGGTGGATCTGATGAGTGAAAATTAAAAATGGGTGGAGCTAGGCAGGTTGAAGAAACGCACCAATAATCCAGTTATCAGTGCCAAGATCATGACAATGTCTTTCCAAGAACAGACAAAAAGGAACATGAACTGCCTGTGATAGGCTTCCTGCGGTACGCAAAACAAGAACAAATACAATTTGTCTGCGAAAGGCTGCCTGCAGAAGGCAAAATATGAACAAACAGTAATAACACGTGAAGGCCTGAGTGCAGACAAGGACAAACAGTGATTCCCTGTGAAAGGCTGAAAGAGGTTGGCTGCTAAAGGCAGCCTGTGAAAGGTAGGGTGAAAAATGTCTATAAAGGCATGGATAATGATGAAAGCATACCTAGGCAAGCCTGCAAAGTCTTTGACTATGCGTGATTATCTGCGGCGTGTAGATTGTGGATCGGCTGATTTAGAGGTCCATTTCCTGGAGGAGAGAGTACTGGTTGCAGCAGGGGAGGGGGAAGAAATGGGGAAGATATTTCATAGAAGAGAAGGTTGGAGCGCTTAACAGAAATAAGACCTGGGCTGGGGAATGTCCCTCTGGCTGGGAGAGAAGAGGGATTGGGGCACACTGCCAGGCTGGCGCTTCAATAAATGCATTTGCTTTTTAGCTAGAGAGCAAGAGCAACTGTCAATCTAGAACTTAAATGCTTGAGTCTTGAATGATGACAGACTACAGTAAGAGCAAAGAGCTGGGCTGATAGGCTGGTGTAGGAACCTATGAAGAGTTAATTGGTTGGCAGTTTGAAGTTTTCCAATTGAGTTCAAACCTAGGCTTCATTAAAGGTATAGTGGTGGATGTTCTTTTTCCGTGTGGATCATTAAAGTAATTGGTCCTCCTAATTTTCAATTATTCTACATTTTCACTTACCGGTGGTGAGTTTCACATAGTGTAAAAATGGCAAATCTTCTTTTGGAAAGTAAGCTTGTATGAGCAATGCAAACAGCAACTTTTAAACAAAGCATGCTCAAGGAGAAATGGATTTCAAGTTGGAATTGAAAAGGTTTCCTGGATGTGAAGCGAAATGTCTTCAAACTTCTTCAAGTCCTGTGGATTGTTTTTTAACTTTTTTGGAATGGCTATGACCTGAATGATTGAGAATCTTCACCAGCATAGACAAATGGCCTCATTTATTAAATGCTCTCGCATGAATTTAATAGGCGTTCCCTTTCTTGACCAGGTACAGGGTTGTGCATGTGCATTCTTATTTTTAAGAAGGGCGGGCGGATCTTTTCAAAAGTTAGCTAAAACTCCTCCACTATACCTTTAATTGTTTAAAAGACAACATTTGTTTGTCTTTGCATATCTTTCTAGGTTGTTCATAGATGTGTTTTCACAGTACTAAGACTGTTGGAATATGTAATACTAAATTATTAAAATAATAATAATAATAGTGATTAAATAAAATATTATATCATATTGATATATAACCAAGACAATTTATAGTCACTGCTTTTTTTATCTTAATACCAATCTCTATGTGTAGAATGTTGGTCATCCAGGTCATAGTAATTCCAAAATTGACAAAAAACAATCCACTAGACTTTGTTTTCCAAGTTTGAAGACTCAGCGATAGAGTTAATTCATTCCCACTATCATAATCCTCATGGCCATGCAGGGGACCAAGACCACTCACCTGGTCAGCCAGGCCAACAATGCACCTAATGAGTCCCCCCTTTCAGAGTCATCAACCAGTATCGGGTATTGCAGACTAACAAAGACCTTAATGACTCCACATTCCTAAGGGGCAGACCTGTTTTCTAGTTCAAATTGCATGTTTTCTAAGCTAAAACAAGGCTTCTTTTGGTCTACTCTATAAAGCTTGGAACTCAACGCTCATTCTGATATTTTGAATTGAAAACGTTTCCTTGCTGGGAAGCAAAGCATCTTCAAACTTGGAAAGCAAAGTCCAGTGGATTGTTTTTTTGTTTTTTGTTTTTTGTTTTTTTTGGTATGGGTAGAATGTTTCAAATGTAAATCCTAAACCTGGATTTTACTCTGGTTTTTAGTAAAGACAGTGCCAAGAAAGGCAAAAAGAAAAACAATCTCACACAAATACACCCATCGGGATTTGCTATATGCAATAAGAACCATGTGTTGACTTTCATTGATTCTCAGTCATTTTCAACCCTAAACCCAACTATTACCAGTGTACACCTAGCCCTAACCTGACACCTTAGCCCTAAACCTAACGTTAGTGAAATAGCTATGAAATGTCCTCACTTTACAACAACCAGTCCTCAATATGATGATGTAATTTGGACACATTGTTGATATTAAATTGTTTTGTTAACCTTAACTGAAGTCAAACCTTCATCCTAAACCTAACCAATAGAAAAGCAAAACAAAGTACCCAACTGCCTTTGGTTGAACTCTTACACTCCCACAATTTAAACATTTTATGATTATGAGTCATATTATAAAGTTTTCTTATAACCAAGAAGGAATATACTTATATTTTCCATCTAGCTGTTTTAACAGGTAAAGGAAGACTCTCTGTGAAGGAAGAATGATTAGTTCATTCAATTACCAGTATTATAACACAGTCAAGGAGTTCTGGATACTACTGTACCCATTTCCCAACAGCCTAGAGATGTGTGTAAAACAGTGTTTAGCTCTGTGGCAAGAGGTTTGTAACTATCACAGTTGTCAAAACCTTCTTGGAATGTGATCAATGTTGCCAACTCTTCAAAGGGAAAAGTCGCTATTAGCTGTCCTAACAAGGACTAGAAGGAGCTGTACGACATCATTACCTACTTTGTCCAGCATATTTCATGTTATCCAGCTATAGGATATTTGAATCCCTCCAATTGCTTTTTTAATTTGGCTTTTTGTCAAAGAAGTGCAGAGAGATTTTGAGAATGCTGGAAGGTAAAATGTGAATGTGGGAATTTTAGGTGTTTTATAGAGATTTAATAGAAA